TCTTATTGGACCGACTACAAAAAAGAAATACCATAATGAAGTATATTGATCAAATACTTTTCTGTAATTTAAAATTCTAATTTACATCTCTTAGTTTTACATGGTATTAATTCGATTTCTTTCGCCCTTTTTTACTATGTCATGCAACGCAGTACTTAATGCAACACTGTATAATCAAATTTTATTTCGCACATTAAATATCTAATTGTTTAATGTGACCTCTAAATATTTAAGTGATTTAATGTATAGCAGTTATAAAATTTTTCAAACGTATTTCTTATTGGACTACAACGGTAAGTGCAAGTCACGTGTTTAATTCAACCACTTGTCTACTAATCTTAACGCATACAGACTTACGATTTTGAGCGTGTACATAAAGATGAATACGGGATCTGAGTTCGTTGAACCATTGTATCACTTTTATACCTGCTACATCCATGATGCTGTTTACTAAACAAAACGTCTTTCACATCACTTCTCTGTGTTCATTCAACTCATATTTAACCAACAGTAAGGGGAAAATACTATACGCATATGTACAGTAACATGATACAGTTTGTGATACTAGTACTGTAAATAATGCGGACTGATAATTCGAGGTTATAACGACGAACTAATTTCTTTCGACACAAATTTCATTGTCAGACAAATTACAGTAAATAGAGTCAAATTTTTAAAGTGACGCGATTCGGGATTGCTATATCTTCGAGGTTATAGTCACATATTTGGGGAATTCCGTAAAAGGACTTTTATCGCGGTCAACAGAAATATATTATCTTGCGAAAATAAACTCTAATGCCACTAATATTCCGTGAAAGCAATCGTCATATATTTTAAAACATTAAACAGTATTTAAATATTCTTGAAATAATTAGTTTTATATAGGTTACAAAATAAAAAAAATTCTTGACATAAATTGTGAATATGGTTTTTAATTCGAACATAATTTTTTAAGCTATTGCAGTTTCAAGGTCGTGACGAAGTCACCGTTATTAATAACACAAATATATTCGTTTATTATGTACCTTTTGTTGGTAGAATCCAATCTAGATATAAGTGACACGCTACTACTCACAGTGCATCACGTTAGATTATGTTACAATAAACAAAAATTGCGTAATATCGAGCTCCAGTGATAGTTATCGCTTACCATTGTATATCATTTCGCGACAAGCATTCACGCAAAATATTTTAAGCTCATATACTTTAGAGTACTTCAACACCAATCGTGTAATAATTACTTCCGGCAGAGTATTATCAGTTGTATTTGAACAACTACACTATTAAAACGCAGCTATGTAATAAGCAGATGACATAAACTGGTAATTAGACTACAACCTGCCCAATACAAAAGAAGTTACGGTTAAAAAGAATCAAACGGGGAAAAAGCAATGACTGACAATGTAATTAGACAATAAAAGATAGATAACCATACGATTAGACTCCAGGCTGTATCCTCATTTCCTATCAATCAAATGCTAACTATCAAACTTAATCTCTGACTTTGTTTTGACATTTTACAAACAAACTAACATCGTTTTCATTGACTCAATGACAGGGACTCATATAAATGGTCAACACTTCCACACGACTCGGCACGCACTTTACCACGAAACAGTGGTTAACATACACTAATAGCACACTTTTCTGCCCGAGATAACGATCGGTTAAACAAATTACATATCTGCGTCATCGTGCCGGAAGAAGCCTCGTGTCTGCCGCCACACCCTTGACGAGCTAACGGAAACGGAAATATTCGTGAAAGCGAACCCACGGATCAATGTTCATGAAACAACGTTAACCGAAACTAAACGTTCTTCGGGGAAGATCCGAAACGAAAAATTTCCGTGATCATATTGCGGCTGCAAATTTGTCGCGATGCGCTGCTCGTAGTTCGTAGGTGGCACTGGTCGCCAGTGTATTTCTTGATGTGGTATATGTGACCCTGACACTGTCGATGATGGAATAATTTATAAATTCTATTTGCAATACGTAATCGATATCCCTTTCAAATGTATTCTTCTAATAAAATTAGAAATTTGACTTTCCCAAAATCCGCTAAGAAAATTAACGAAAAATAATAAATAGTATATCAGCTCCGAAAACATTGCTTCCAAAACGTTCGTTATCGTAGTCAAATGAGAAAAAATATTACGATTTCTAATGTAAAAGTTATAAAGTTAAAGAAATATATTAGAAATGTTGAATGTTTCTATAGAAAGAAGTACGGGGTTCTAAATTTATTTGATACTACACTGTGGAGGGGAGTTTTACGAAACGCGACAGCCCTGTACACGTGTTACCCCGAAAACGCATGCGCCTGCTACCGGCAACAAGTTGATGTCAGCACCGTACTGTCCTCCACCAGCACTACTGCGACTATCGGGCCGTGGACGGTAAGGTTGCGTCAATAAACAACCTCGATGTCCGGAGACTATGGGCCAAGGACAACTCCACTGGGGTGGCTCCACACGAGGGATATCAAACCTTATTGGTCAATCCGCTCACGCTACACTGATACGAGTGGAGTTTCGGTGCGTTCGCACTGCGCGTCGAGAAATCATATGAAATCCTAACGATCTTTTAACACCCAAACATTAAGAAGCATTGACGTCAAATTTTTAAAATTCTCTTCAAATGGAACTGAACAGATCGAGAACAGTACCGACAGCATATGTAACAGATATTAAGTGTGTACGTTATTGATCAAAAACAATTAAAGATGTGATGGGTATTGAACTATACAAATGTATATCTGACCATGAACAGCAGCTGCTATAACTAACGTCTGGAACTTCATTACTTTCGTTTGAAATTCCACCAATATTACAATTTAACCATTAAGCTTTAGAAACACGTTGAGGTTCAAAATCCTTTGCAAACTGAATCGAGTAGATAAGAAACAGAATCGACAGCATTCTTAACTGATATCAAATATACACATTTTCCTCGTTCGGGAATTTATGATAACCTATTTTATTGTAGCAGACTACATCCAAATTAATTCACTATAATTTACGAATCAACACTATTATAAGTCTTCTGTTCATCGAAGCTCGTAAAACCAAGAAGCTGACCTACTCAACAAACATACACTACCGCTCATATATGTATATTAGAACATCTGGTCTGAATGAAGAAAATGTGCCATTTCGTAAATGTTATGTATTTTAAACCACGGTTATTACTTCACAGTAGCATAAGCGTTGCCGATTGAGCGTTACTATTCTCTAAATAATATTAATTTCAGACTTTTAGCAATTTCATAATACCTTACAACATTTACTACACATTCGATAAGTGTCCTAATACTTATGAGTGAGAGTATTTCGGAAGAAACAGATATCACATGCATCATATTTATAGAAAATAGTTAACAATCTAATAGCTCTCAAACTGATCAATGTCTCGTGAACTTGCTCTTCCCGACAACACTTTTCATTATTTTCACGACAATGGAAAATCCTTTACGCTGATGATATTGACCCACCCTAGGTGCAATAAGTCGTTTATAGATCGCATCAATATTTTACCATCTTATGCGTCTTTAGTCTAGCTGCGATCATTCTACCTTAGTCTCTGAACCCAACCGGCTATTATTTCCAGAGCTTCCGGTTTCGTCGCATGTTTTACGACACGTCACGTACTCGTAAACAATGATAATATCTATGCCTCCATAGTTCCCGCTCATTACACCGATCAAAATAACAAACGACACTCCCACACGTATATAAGAAAAACCATTATTAAATACCACGGATGATGTCTCTCACCTTCGGAACTCGACCTGCCGGTTGCAGCCTCCTGCAGCTCGATGTGCTCGCGTGTCCTTCGTCGTCCGCGCGGCAGAGCCTCTATACGAAGGCCGATGTTATCGACATTGTCGATACTCCCGAGATCGATGGGACTGCCGATGATGTAGGGCCCGGTGGTGGTAGTCTGTTGCTCTTGCGTACCGTCCTTCCTGCGACCGCTCGCCGATGAGGAATTGCTACGAACACCGCTGCCTTGCGAGGGTGTACCGTCCATATGAGGTATGGAAGAGAGATCCGGAGGTGTGTAGGGACGCAACGAGCCAGGACTGGGAACCCGGGGGCTCCCCCTGGCAGTCGGTTGCATTGAATGCAGCGGGGCCTAAATCAGATAGAATTGCCACATTAACGTCACTCGACGCGATGTCTGACGTCACGAGCCGGCCGAGCGATTCACGGCGAAAGTTGTCCTCGGTCCTAGCGTCTGCTTTGCCATAAAGTGGTTCCACTATGTTTTAATATTTTACGGTCGGCAGGATTTTTACGAACTCGTACAAGTCCTTTGAATAACCGTAGAGAGGTGTTTTACACCGCGAGAGGATCCCCTTTAAAAAAATCGGAGGCAGATAGGTGCCGAGACTCGGTCAAGGTTGTAGAAAGTGAGCGAATTCAAATTCGATCCGCATTAATGCAGATCGTCACGGTGTTAAACCCACCAGTTCGCTATAGTCTGTTCATATATATTTTTTATCTGTAAATTATTTTTAAATATTCACTGAAATTATATTGATTTTACAAAAAATAATACGATGATCGTGGAAATTGTAGGCGGAATGTTCGTGGTATATAAAGTGTTAATGGAGATTGGGGCCATCTTGTTAGATATTGGGTTTGGGGTGAAACAATTTGTGATCGATCGGGATAGCCGGATACCGTAACGCTTTAACTATGTACCGACGAATTTTCGTATGCTTTGATCACAGCGCCAGTGTGAAATGTCCGTCATACGGAGTATGTGAGAATAGAATACTACATACATGAAATTATTGAATCAAACCAGTTTATCATACTTCGTATGGGTTATTCCACGTAAGTCAGGCCGATGTGAATCAACGTAGCGTTTACTTCAATTAATTTTCATACGGCCAATTTTAAAGTGTCCATATTTTCGAAGATACGTCCATAAAGAGGGCAAATAGGACTATATCCTCATTTTTCTTCAAATTTTTAAATAGTTCCCTGGTATAAAAACAGGGCATTCATTTAAAACAATTGGAAAATAAATGGTTAAAAAATATCTTTTTTTAACTGAAATAATTTTTATTTGGTACTCTCATGTCTCCACTGTAAGTACCCGTAAAGCTCATTATCATCAGTTTGTTAATTCAATAGTTATGATTTATTGAAAAAAGGTTGACCCTAAATTTCAAACAGCTGTAAAATCAACAATTTTTAAAATTTTCAAAAATCCTTCGAGATACGTTTATATATCGCTAAATACTACAACATATCCAAGTGTCAACAAAATTAGAAATGGTGCTCCAAAAAATGTCCGATTTCGCGGAGAATGACCCATATTCATTCCGTGGAGGTATCTTAGTTTATGCTCCAATATTGATATTAGTGAAAAGTGAATGTTATTCTTTTGACGCAAGTGTTCCAATTAATTTCAGCCTCGTCGATCACCGGTGACCCCCATGACGTTACTGGCAAGACGAGTGCCGGCCACCGGTGTCCCCCACGGAAATCAACGTGTGTTAATTGATTGTGGGTCACCTACATATTAAACTGATCTGGATTTAGTACCCTCAACTACATCTCCCCAAAGAAATTCAAAATAAATTTCTGCGTTGTGAAATTCGGGGCTCTACGATTAGGACGTCCATTAACTGATTGCTTATTAGGCAGCGGCCATCTTTACTCATTTGGTCGATATTATATGTATTACATACATAATTGGAAAGATTGAATAAAATATTGATAAAAAATATATATTTATATTATTTAATTTAAAAATTGCTTAAAAATAACATGACCACACTTCTTTTATAAAACCCTGTACATACCCTTTCATTAATAAATGTTTACATTTTCTTTACTTCGTGAATTTCCGAGACACGCACCATGAATTTTACTTATTCTACAGCTTTTATTCTAAAGAAAAGCAGTTCGTTTTCAGACAGTATTTGTACAGACTGTATCGGTTATCAAGGACCGATAATGATAAAGTGCAATTTATTGCGCAGCGTAAGTGCAAAAAAAAGAAAACTAACTCGGCGACAACCGCGTTAAGCCTCTTCATTCCTTTACAATATAATTCAAAGTTATTTTGTTTTACTAGAACACCTTTCCTTTCGAAGAACCGACTCGATTGAACGTACATCGCTAGAAGGATAACCAATCTACCGAATAAATAAATCGAAACGCGGTGACCAGCCTATGCATTTAGAATTATCCTATCAATTCTGCACCTACAGATATCTATCTATCCGCTATCAACCATCCGAGGCCCCTTATTAAAATATTTACCAGTCCATTCCATTACCTGTTTGTCCTTATCATTTCTTAGCGTATAGTTTCGCAAAAGTTCAAATTGTTAAGATATCACATCATTAAATGTTAAGAAACAGTGAAATAATAACTTTTGTTCGCTGACAGAAGTTACTTGGAGTATGCGATGTTGACACGAAGTTACAGAGCG